AAATAAGTTTGAGCGTATCACCTTTCATCCTCAGATTGATGGGCAGGCAGAGCGCACCATTTAGACGTTGGAGGACATGTTGAGGGCGTGTGTAATTGACTTCAGAGATAGCTGGGATGACCATCTGCCTTTGATAGATTTCTCGTATAATAATAGCTATCACTCTAGCATTGGGATGGCACCGTTTGAGGCAATGTATGGTAGGAGGTGTAGATCTCCAATTGGGTGGTTCTTGGTTGGAGAGTCATCCATTTTGGGTCCAATGATCATTCATGAGGTCTTAGAGAAGGTCAGAGTGATTAGGGATAGGTTGGCTACTTCTTACTGCCGGCAGAAGTCATATGCACACAACAGAGAGCGGCCTTGAGAATTTGATGTTGGTGATCAGGTTTACTTAAAAATATCACATATGAAAAGGGTGATAAGATTTGGTAGAAAAGGGAAGCTGAGTCCGAGGTATGTTGGGCCATATGATATCCTAGAACGTGTGGGTGAGGTGCCTATGAGTTAGCATTGCCTGCGGAGCTAGCTTCTGTCCATCCAGTCTTTCATGTCTCTATGTTAAAGAAGTGCTCAGGTGATCTAGCATCGACTCTACCTGTGGAAGGTTTGGGGGTTGATGAAGACTTGTCTTATGAGGAGGTACCCTGTTGAGATCTTAGACAGACATGCCAAGTGGCTGAGGAACAAGGAGATTACCACAATGAAGGTATTGTGGAGAAATCATCTTGTTGAGAGTGTTACATGGGAGGATGAGGCCGACATGAGATCCCGCTACCCTCATCTTTTCAACTCATGAGGTTAGACTTCCTACTCTTAAGTCTACGTTTCCTTATCTCTCCGTATTTTGTTGCTATTGCTTGACTGTGCATAGTGATTATGTTATGATCTGATTGGCATTACGATGTGTAGTGGTAGTGGTAGTGTCATTCGGGGATGAATGTTCCTAAGGTGTGGGGGGGGGGGGTAATAATGTAACAACCCTAAAAAATAAATAAGATAAATGCTTAAGGTGTCAAGAATGCTTGCGATTAGACCCAGGGTTAACACGGATTGACGCACAGAACTAGACCTCAAACCCTTACTAAGGCCAAGCCAACTAACTTGGGGAGTTATTTGAGCTTGGAAAGGTTGGAACCAACCATGCATGTCTCTCAAAAACGAAGATTTAATCGAAAGAGTCTTTACCGGACTTAAAAGAGGAAATTTTAAGTTTTGAGAGTCCAGGGGTAAAATGGTCTTTTCCAGTAAAAGGGTAATATCGTAATTACCCTAAGGATTTAATA